TGGCTACCCACTCCAGTATTCTTGCCTGGAGAATTCCATGGACAGAGGAGCCTGGTGAGCTATAGTCCATGGAGTCGCAAAGAGTCAGACATGACTGAGTGACTAACACTTGCACTTTTTCAGAATAGCTATAATCAGCAAGGCAGATAATAACAAAGGCTGGCGAGGACGCAGAGAAATTGGAAGCCTCATAAACTCTGATGGGAAATAGTTACATCCAGTCTGAGATTTACAGCCACTTTGAAAAACAGTTTGGCAATTACTCAGAATGTTAAAAATGGAGTTACGCTGTGACTCAGCAGTTCCTTCTAGGCATATACTCAAGACAGATGAAAATATAGGTCCACACAAAGACTTGTATGTGAAAGTTCACAGTAGCACTATTCCTTATAGCCCCAAATTGGAAGCCATTCAAATGTTCAGCAATTGGTGAATGAATAAACAAAATGTAGTATACCCATATAATTGGAATGCTAGTCAGCAATTAAAAGAAGTGAATGACTCATACATGATATAACATGGATAAAACTCAAAGCATTATGATAAAGAAGCCAAACAAAAAAAGACTTACATGATTTAATTTATGTGAAATAGCTAGGAAAGGCCTATTTGTAGGGCAGAAAGCACATTATCAGCTTGGGACTCCAACTTTGGGTGTTCCACTAAACAACTCAGAAAGTGCCTCACCTTTAACGACCCAGCATCGGAAGTCACACAGCATTTTATGGCATAATCTGAGTCAAAGCCCACCTGGAATCAAGGAGAGGGAAGTTTTAGCCTACCTTTGATGGGAGAAATGTCAAAGAATTTGGGAACCGTATCTTAAAACTGCCACATAAACTCACAACCTATTTCTCAAAAAGCAACAAAGGAAGCCAGAAGACACTGAAGTCACATATTGAATGTGTTGCAAGAAAATCACTATCAACCTAGCAAGGATCACCATTTTATTGGTGATTTATCCCAATATTCAAGGGATATATAATTTATATTCAAAATGTTATGTTTATTTATTTATTTATGACTTCGCTGGGTTTTCAGTGCTTTGCTCTGGCTTTCTCTAACTGCGGCAAGCAGGGGCTACTCTTTGTTGTCGTACGTGGGCTTCTCATTGCGGTGGCTTCTCTTCTTGCAGAGTGCAGGCTTTAGTAGTTGTGGTACACATGCTGTGGACATGTGTGGTACACGTGTTGCCCTGCAGCATGTGGAATCTTCCCAGACCAGGGAGAGAACCCATGTCCACTGCATTGGCAGGCAGATTCTTAACCACTGAACCACCAGGGAAGTCCTACGGTAAAGGCCCTCCAGTACTTATAGGCTAGTACAACCTTAGTTGTCAACCTGACCAGGACAGTATAAGAAAGGAAAATTAAAGTTACAGACCAATCATATTAAAATATGGATTCAAAAAATCCTAAACAAAAATTAATAAACCCAGGGGCGCAATATATAAAAATTTGAAATATGATCTAATTGATTTATCTGAGGAGTACTAGATGAATTTAGTGCTTTTGAACTTGGTGTTGGAGAAGGCTCTTAAGAGCCCCTTGGACTGCAAGGAGATCAAACAGTCCATCCTAAAGGAAATCAACTCTGAATATTCATTGGAAGGACTGATGCTGAGGTTGAAGCTCCAATACTTTGGCCACCTGATGTGAAGAACTGACTCATTAGAAAAGACCTTGATGCTGGGAAAGATTGAGGGCAAGAGGAGAAGGGGACAACAGAGAATGAGATGGTTGAATGGCATCACCGACTCAGTGGACATGAATTTGAGCGAGCTCTGGGATATAATGAAGGACAGGGAAGCCTGGCATGCTGCAATCCATGGGGTCGCAAAGAGTTGGACATGACTGAGCAACTGAACAAGATGAATTTAATGTTAGAAAATCAAATATGGTAATTACTATAGTAACACATGAAAAAGTAAAATATCATTTGATAATCTCAATAGTTTCATACAAATATTTGTGAAAATTCAAAATCTGTTCATAATAAAAAGTCATAGGAAATTGTGATTGCAAGGGACATTCTAATCCTGATAAAGCTCTACAGAAAATCTATAGTCACCATCATACTTGGTGGTGAAACTCAGAAATCCTTGTTTAAGATCAAGATAAGAAACAGTTAACAGGTATCACCACCTTTACTTAATATTTTACTAGAAATCCTAGCCACTATCCTTAGGAGAAAAAGATAAAGTTTTAAAGTTGGAAAGGAATAAACAAAACTGTCATTATTTGTGTGTGTGTTAAGTCACTTCAGTCATTTCCGACTCTTTGCAACCCCATGGACCATATCCTGCCAGGCTCCTCTGTCCATGGGATTCTCCAGGCAAGAATACTGGAGTGGGTTGTCATTTCCTCCTCCAGGGGACCTTCACGACCGAGGGATCAAACCCATGTCTCTTAGGTCTGTCTCCTGCATTGGCAGGTGGATTCTTTACCACTAGCGCCATCTTGGAAGCCCCAGGTTATTAGTTGAAGATTAAGTAAATGAATGACTGATAGTGGGAGCTATATTTGTCACTGTTGGAGAGGGTATGACCGTAACCATGTGAAGTCCCTCAGTCGTGTCCGACTCTTTGCAACACCATGGACTGTATAACCTACCAGGCTCCTCTGTCCACGAGATTTTACAGTCAAGAGTATTGGAGTGGGTGGCCATTTCCTTCTCCAGGGGATCTTCCCCACTCAGGAATCAAATCCGGGTCTCCCGCATTGCAGGCAGATGCTTTACCATCTGCGCCACCAGCGAGAGGGTAATTATAAATAAAAAGAAAAGGCTAGAATAAATCATGTGATACTGGATTAGAGTTGGAGACATTACCATGAGTTCATGTTTGCCTATAGAGACAGATACATACAGAAGTAATTACATATGTGTGCATATGTTTGTATTAGTGTATTTCCTCCTAAGAGGTCCTGGGAACAGTGACACCCCAGTAGCAATGAGCACAACAGATCTTGGTTTCTAATTACCAGTCTCCAGTCTTCTTTGGAGAAGGGATGATTTCTAGGGCTGGGCAAGGGAAGATACAAGATGAGCCTGGAGCATTTTGTGGTTTCATAAAGGAAGAAATTGCTCAAAAAATGAAAGAATGAGACTAATGTCAAATACAGGAGCTTCTAATGGCCAAACTGGAAGGATATAACCAATCAAATAAATAAAGTAGTATTGGAGTATACCTTAAATTATAAAATAAATATGCATGAGTCTATATTGATAATAATAAATGATTGAAAAATAAATAAATGGAAGAGTAGAGGCAAATCTCACATAAGAATTCCAAATCAATTATGTAGGTCTGTGATCTGTTCTTCTGAATTTCTGTGCAAGGTTAGGTCTGCGTCTAGATTCTTCTTCCTACCCCTGTTTCTCCTCCTCTTCTTCTTCCTGCATGTGGATGTCTACTTGTTTCAGCCCCATTTGTTGAAAAAACTGTCTTTGCTCCATTTGATTGTCTTTGCTTCTTTGTCAAAAATCAATGGAATGTACTCATGTGGATCTAATTCTCGGTTCTCTTTTCTATTCCAAAAGGAAGTTTTTAAAATGGCACTTCATTATGTACTAGTACACAGGAGATGTCATCGTTAGATAGGAGCTGATTTTAACAGGAGAAAATATAGTCATATATGCATCTAGGTTGGTAGACTTGAGGGTGGGAGGATGAGGAATTTCTTTTCTGAATGCATCTCCCTTCTCACTGAAGAAAAGAAGTACCTGAGCATGAGGATCAGGAAGCAAAACGTAGCTAAGTGGGAAGATAAATTTCTAGGAAAACAGAATAACTAGGTAGTTTGAGCATCTGTTTGAGATTTTTTATCATTAATTTATCATTAATAATGATATCAAATTAATTAATATATAATTATATTTAGTGCTTTTGAACTATGGTGTTGGAGAAGACTCTTGAGAGTCCCTTGGACAGCAAGGAGATCCAACCAGTCCATCCTAAAGGAAATCAGTCCTGAATGTTCATTGGAAGGACTGATGCTGAAGCTGAAACTCCAATACTTTCACCACCTGGTGCAAAGAGCTGACTCATTGGAAAAGACCCTGATGCTGGGAAAGATTCAAGGCAGGAGGAGAAGGGGATGACAGGATGGGATAGTTGGATGGCATCACCAACTCAATGAACATGAGTTTGAGTAAACTCCAGGAGTTGGTGATGGACAGGGAGGCCTGGCATGCTGCGGTCCATGGCGCCACAAAGAGTCAGACACGACTGAGTGACTGAACTGAACTGAATATATATAATTGATTAATTTAATTAAATAAGTTAATTAATTAATTAAATCACACAGAGCTGTGTGATTTTTCTCCTACATCATTCTGCTGCTTAGGGGCAGGGAAGGAGTAGGTTGTCAGTGGGCTTTTCCCAAATGAGTGGGTATAAGATAAGCCTGTGAGTAGAAGTTTGTTTTTTTTATCCTCATATCATGCAACCTCAGTATAGAGGCTGGTTGATAAGTTCAGGGTGCTTAATGATACTCCCATGTTATCACTCTTCTATTCTTCCTCTCTTTTGGAAAGCTCAGGCAGTCATATGATGCCAGCTGCCACCCTTGCTTAATGCTGTAATCAACTGTCCCCCTGGTCCTGCCTGCTCATCTAGTGAAGATTTTATCACTTGAACCACTATTTTCCTCTCCACTATTGGGAACTCAGTGCCCAAATGTTGTGAAAGACTGAGGGGAAGTAGTGTCCTCAGCATACATCCAGATTTCAAGTACTAGTGTCAGAAGGTACAAGGAATTCTTCCTGAAGCAACTAAAATAATTTTAAATAAATGAATTTTAAGGAAAGAGCCTTTAGTGAAAAACCTAAGTAACTATCTGAGCAATTTTACAAAAGAACACATATTTTGAGCTTTATCTAGGCTCAAACCCCTATACTGTAGATACAAGGCAGCTTTTATTTTCTGGAGACAGGCCACATATTGCTTCTTGATCCTAATTGTCTCAGTACTCAACCTTATATCTCATTTATACTTTCAGATTATATTTAAGAATCAAGCAAGCCGGCCATATAACATCTACCCTCATGGAATCACTGATGTCAGTCCTTTGCACTCAGGGAGATTTCCAAAAGGTAAGCTTTACCTCAGTTTTCTAGGCCTTACCTAGCTGTAGATACACCTGAGGACACAGCCTCAACAACAACAACTACAGTTATGCACATGTATCACCCCATCCTTAATTCTCTTAAGTTTTATTTTATTTAAAAATGTGCCTTCATTTTGCCTTCACTTTTTTATTTGTAAAATAATTATTAATTATTTTATTACAAATTATATATTTGTAAAATAATTATTTATTTTATAAATTATTCATTTGCTTGGCTGTGCTAGGTCTTCATTGCTCCCTGCAGGCTATCTTTAGTTGCGGAGAGCGAGCTACTCTAGTTGTGGTGCATGGGCCTCTCACTGCAGTGGCTTCTGTTAGTGCAGAGCACGGGCTCTAGGGCACATGGGCTCAGTAGTTCGGACGCAGGGGCTTAGTTGCTCCATGGCATGTGGAATCTTCCAGGGACCAGGGATTGGACCTGTGTCCCCTGCGTTGGCAGGTGGATTCTTAACCATTGGACCACCAGGGAAGTCCTTGCCTTCACTTTGGAAGGATACTTTTCCTGGACATAGAACTCTGGTTTGGAAAGCCTTCATTTTTTAAGCATTTCAACTTTAGATTTTTGGCAGTTACCTCTGTATCTCAAAAAAATCATTTATTTGCTACTCCTTTGTTTTACAACTTTATATATTTATATAAAGTTATTTATATAAATATATATTTATAGTTACAACATTATATATTTAATTTTGTGTTAAATAAGGATTTAGCATTATGCCTCTTCCTAGTCCAGTTGTTCTAGACCTTTATCAGTGTTTTAGTTCCTCAATTGGCAGCAATTTAAAAATATGCTAAATACCTACTTTTTATATCTTTATGATATTACCCTAAGAGTACTAACAACTGTCCCCTTTTCCATTTCCTCTCATCTATTCTTCCATTTCTCAACTGCTGCCAGCCATACCTTTACTTTTATAAAACTAAAGCTGATAACATTTACATTTTGCTCTTTAATTTTAAATAGCTCCTTGAGTTTTCTATATATTTATTTTAAACTTTAAAAGTAAAAAAACCAGCATTTACATTATTTTAGGATGTGTTTCTTTTTTTTTTAACCTAAAAGCTTTTTTTTCCATTTATTTTTATTTGTTGGAGGCTAATTACTTTACAATATTGTAGTGGTTTTTGCCATACATTGACATAAATCAGCCATGGAGTTACATGTATTCCCCATCCCGATCCCCCCTCCCACCTCCCTCTCCACCCAATTCCNCTTCCCAGTGCACCAGCCCCGAGCACTTGTCTCATGCATCCAACCTGGGCTGGTGATCTGTTTCACCCTAGATAATATACATGTTTTGATACTGTTCTCTCTAAACATCTCACCCTCACCTTCTCCCACAGAGTCCAAAAGTCTGCTCTGTACATCTGTGTCTCTTTTTCTGTTTTGCATATAGGGTTATCGTTACCATATTTCTAAATTTCATATACATGCGTTAGTAGAGTGAAGTAAGCCAGTATGTATTTCTTATTATAAGAATATGAGTTTATGGCAGAACTAGGTGGTATGCTATGGTTATTCTTTTGTCTACAGTTCCAGTGATTTTACTGTTACAGTCGAATGGATTATCCTTCTTTATTCTCTACCAGTAGTTCAAAATCATAGTGAATTTTAGCTTGCAGTATATTGAAGTGAAGTGAAGTGAAGTTGCTCAGTCGTGTCTGACTCTTTGCAACCCCATGGACTGTAGCCTACCAGGCTCCTCCATCCATGGGATTTTCCAGGCAAGAGTACTGGGGTAGGTTGCCATTTCCTTCTCCAGAGGATCTTCCTGACCCAGGGATTGAACCAGGGTCTCCCGCATCATAGGCAGATGCTTTACTGACTGAGCCACCAGGGAAGTCCCAATATATGCAATATATTAAGACCATGCTAATCTTATACATTTTTTGTTTATATTCTTGAAGAAAGACTTTCTTTTATCATGAGAAGAAATATATGACTTTTCACCATATCCCTTAGGTCTTCCAGCTTCTTAATCATGCTATTTGTTAGTATCTGATCCTTTTTTCTTCTAAAGATGTTCTTGTTGTTCACCAGCTTATTGTTCTAATATGGATGATTTGCTTGCTAGGCCTGCTACAAAGATGCCATCTCTGGATTTCTTTATTTGGACTTGTAGGCTAGTGCCATACCTCTCTTGTCTTGTACATTTCTGGATTTTTATTTCTTTTGTTTTTCTGGAAGTATATCTTCAACATACTTCTGAGTGCATTTAGTATATAGGGGATAAACTCTATGAGTCCTTCAGTATGATATGATGGATAACTAGGCTGGTTATAAATAACTTTGAATCCTCTGTTTTCTAATGTTCATGGTTGCTGGTCAAAATTCAAATGCAAAATTGATTTGCATTCCTTTATGTGAGAAGGGCACAGAAACAAAATTCTGGGTAGATATTGAATGTGTACCCTGAAATTTGGGGGCATCTGCAAATCCACTTCTTAGTAACTTGCTTTTTATGTGGAGCACTCTGAAGAAGAGAGGATAAGAGTGAGGCAGCTTGCCCTTCCTGTTTGACCTCCCAAGGATACATGTGTTTTTTTCTGTAAGAAGTAAATATAGTTGCGAGCAGCTGGCTTGGTCTCTTTTTGAAGATACTCTATCTGAGAAGGCAGTGTGAGGGAAGCCAGAAATAATAGGCTTTTGGATATATCACTGGGTGTAACCAGAGCTGGTTGGGGAGAGGAGGGCTACAAAATTATAGCTGAAATAAGCCTCTCTCATGGCATGGAAGTGCCCAGTGCTGGGGTCCTGACGGTCACTCCAAGGAAAGTATATGCCTCCCATAAGAGAAGACCATCATTCAGGCACCTGACACACAAAAAGCATTGGTGACGAAACTGTAGAGAAAGTACTCACACAGCAGGATCCATTAAGAAACAATCTATTTTCCCTTTCCTCTAATACCCACCCACCCTCACTCCCTATTATGTGTGCTTAGGGAATGGATATAGCCTGGATACTCAGGTATTAAACATATTCAAAAGTGAGTTTTAATTATGAAAATCAGACAGTCCTTGTCCTGAGGACCCATTAGCCCAACAGTTCAGGTCAGTCACTCAATCATGTCCAACTCTTTGTGACCCCATGAACCACAGCATGCCAGGCCTCCTGGTCCATCCCCAATTCCCGGAGTCTACCCAAACTCATGTCCATTGAGTCGGTGATGCCATCCAACCATCTCATCCTCTGTCATCCCCTTCTCTTCCTGCCCTCAATCTTTCCCAGCATCAGAGTCTTTTCCAATGAGTCAGCTCTTCGCATCAGTTGATCAAAGTATTGGAGTTTCAGCTTCAACATCAGTCCTTCCAATGAACACCCAGGACTGATCTCCTTTAGGATGGACTGTTTGGGTCTCCTTGCAGTCCAAGGGACTCTCAAGAGTCTTCTCCAACACCACAGTTCAGTACCATCAATTCTTTGGCACTCAGCCTTCGTTATAGTCCAACTCTCACATCCATACATGACCACTGGAAAAACCATAGCCTTGACTAGATGGACCTTTGTTGACAGCAGCCCAACAGCAGATTTCAATTACTGCTTCTATTCCTCATAGACATCAGATGCCACAAGTCTTGATACCACATGTGAGTTAAAACTTCATTGCCCAGTCCTGTGGCATCAATTCAGGCCAATCCGGCTTTGATGTGTCTTTCTTTTTTTGGCACTTGGGTTTTTTTTTTCCTTCTTGATGCATTTTCAGTTATACATTTAAAATCTTTCAAAATATCATCTATTATTTCTTTGTATTTGTCAGAGTTGGGAGACCTGCCCACTTCAACTCAAACTAACATGCTAGCAGAAATCTCCTGTACCTATTTTTATTATAAAAAGTTGCATGAATCTTAAATTTATAAAAGGTGGCAAATTTAGTTTTCACTTACTGGGAAACTTCATATGTACATATAAATGGGTAAAGCCATTGTGATAATGATGTAATTACCCATATATTCCTTGTTATACTTCTAATCAAACTATTCTTGGGTTTGTGTGTGGGTAGGTGTGAAACATTTGAAAGACATGCCAATTCTGCCAGGAGAAGTGTTCAAGTATAAATGGACAGTGACTGTAGAAGATGGGCCAACTAAATCAGATCCTCGGTGTCTGACCCGATATTACTCAAGTTTCATTAACATAGAGAAAGATCTAGCTTCAGGACTCATTGGCCCCCTTCTCATCTGCTACAAAGAATCTGTAGATCAAAGAGGAAACCAGGTGAGTTCATCTTTTTGCAAGTGCTGAGTCTGAAGCTGAAATGGAATGAAGAGGCATATGCATTTCCAAATAATACCTCCTAAAAAAAAAAAAAACAAATAATACCTCCTATATTCTGCTCTCAGTGGATGTCTGCCTAAAGCCTGCAGAAAATATAGAAGTCTGCAATATTGAGCAGTAAAAGAAGTGAGCTGGATTTATGATAGCTTTTATTGACTTCTGTATAAACTTGCCTGCTGGATGGACAGGACAGCCTGGGCCCTAGATTATTTCTATAACACTCATTCTTAGCCTAAAATTTCGCTCTCGAAGTGATCTTGCCCATTTTTACATGATCAGTTACTTTTATATTACCCACAAATCTATATGACTGCCTAGATGTCTCCCCTGTATATCTCATTGTGATTGACTCAAAATATTTCTAAATGAACACATCTAGCATAATGCATGGCATTTAGTAGTTCAACAAGTATTTGTTGAATAAAACTGAAGTGAAGTGGAAGTCACTCAGTTGTGTCCGACTCTTTGCGATGACATGGATTTCCTGGAATTCTCCAGGCCAGAATATAGAAGTAAGTAGCCTTTTTCTTCTCCAGGGGATCTTACCAACCCAGAGATCGAACCCAGGTCTCCTACACTGCAGGTGGATTCTTTACCAACTGAGCTATCAGGGAAACCTGAGTAAAATTGAGGAAACATATAAAATATTTCAGAATATGCTTAGAATTTGGACCACTTCTGCTGTTTTAGAAAAATAAAGTTAAATACTCTGAATTTAATAAGCTCAAGTTCAGTTAAGTTCAGTCCCTCAGTCGTGTGTGACTCTTTGTGATCCCATGGACTGTAGCATGTCAGGCCTCCCTGTCCATCACCAACTCCCGGAGCTTACTCAAACTCATGTCTATCGAGTCAGTGATGCCATCCAACCATCTTATCCTCTGTTGTCCCCTTCTCCTCCAACCTTCAATCTTTCCCAGCATCAGGGTCTTTTCAAATGAGTCAGTTCTTCACATCAGGTGGCCAAAGTTTTGGAGTTTCAGCTTCAGCATCAGTCCNCTTCCATCGATACCTATCAGTAATGAGTGAGTCCTTGCCCTCCATGAGGTCATGTCAGAGGAGGACTTACGGGGAATCAAGCCTCTTATCATTGTCTGCTTGCAATGACTGACACCCGTTGCCTGTTGGCGCAGATGGTAAAGCATCTGCCTGCAATTCAGGAGACCCAGGTTCAATCCCTGGGTAAGGGAGATCCTCTGAATAAGGGAATGACAACCCACTCCAGCATTCTTGCCTGGATAATCCCATGGACAGTGGAGCCTGGCAGGCTACAGTCCACAGGGTCGCAAAGAGTTGGACACGACTGAGTGACTAACCCACACGCCCTTGCCTGTCAGATGAGACCATGAGGGGAAGCAAAACAATAACCCTCACTCAGCAGTGAGTAGACTTGTTCCTCCAGGCAGAGTAATATCAAAGAAAAGTAGCTAAACAAAAGGTTTAAATAAAATCTAGAGTCTCATAGTATAATTTTCAAAGTTCCCAGGTTTAAAAAAAATCACTTTTTATATGAAGAATAAAGAAGATCTCAAATTCAGTGCAAAAAGGACAAGAAATACATGTTACACAACAGAGATGTTAGAATTATTTGACAAAGATTTCAAAGCAGCCATTGTAGAAATTCTTCACTGAGCAATTACAAGCGTATGAAACAAATTTTTTAAAAAGGAAACCTCAGCCAAGAAATAGAAGATACAATGTTATACTGTGTATGCTTCTATTAATTAATATAACATAAATCTTGAAATGATAAATTTATAGAAATGGAGAACCTGGTTGGTCATGATTGCCAAAGGTTTAGAGAAGAATAGGATAGGAAGAAAGTGGGTGTGGCTATGAAAGGAAAAATGGGTGTGATGGTTGGATGGTATCATTGACTCAATGAACATGAGTTTGAGTAAACTCCGGGAGTTGGTGATGGACAGGGAAGCCTGACATGCTGCAGTCCATGGGGTCGCAAAGAGTTGGACACGACTGAGCAGCTGAACTGACTGACTATTCTGAAAACATTTCATGAACTTTAATACAGATAAAACATTTGGCACACAAACCCAGAGCAGCATACATTTGGACTAGTACCTTCCCTGACTAATTTTTCCTAATTATAGTTTTCCTGTCAGTTTTTGGAAGAAGATGGAAATATACCTATATTTTCCCATCTTTTCCCCTCAACATTTTCATTTCTGTAGTAATGGGTTATACAAAATGAAATTTATACATGTTACTGAAGTTTATACATTAAATCTTAACAGATTTATTTAGTAAGTGACAACTTGTAACTTTGGTTCAGATACAAACAGCTCCTCTCAAAAAAAACTTTAAACTTTGTATTATAAAACTTAAAAGTATTAGTGTTAGTAAACATTTATGATTCATCTTAACTTTGTTATTTAAATTTATGTTTTCTATTTTTAATTTTTTATAGTTAGCCTTGTGGAAGGACATTTGCTCGATGAAAGTTTAGGAAGGCATTCATCTTACTTGATTTGACTAAATTGTTTAAGAGAGACTTTGAATAATCACTTGGGTCTTTAAAGAGTGAAAATCCTCTAATCTGAACATGGAGAGAATGAGGCTACAGACTCCATGAAAAATATCATCCAGCATATGACCTTGGGTCCAGAAGAAACTAAGTTTAATGGGTCCAGTAACCTCTTTCCCTGAGGACACACTTGCTTTAAACATACATTCACTGCTCATAGCATACACTCCCACTCCTAAGTCCTGGGACATACCAGAATAGTGACCCTAAGGGAAAAATGGCATTGATCTAGAGGATTATGGATATATCATATACATGCCATCACTTCCATCACAGGCTGCTAATTTCTACCCGATAGTACTAGTAACATTTCTTTCTTTCTTTCAATGCATGCAATTAACAGATGATGTCAGACAAAAGAAATGTCATCCTGTTTTCTGTATTTGATGAGAATAAAAGTTGGTACCTCACAGAGAATATTCAGCGCTTCCTCCCCAATGGAGTACAGCCCCAGGATCCAGAGTTCCAAGTCTCCAACGTCATGCACAGTAAGTGATCCAGCATTTGAGTCCAAAGAGTAATGGATAAAGGGAAGTTGAAACTGCCAAATAGATGTGCAGTTAATGCATTACTTTATATGCCTCACAAGAGTCATATTTCCTTAAAATTATTATATATGAGCATGTGAAATTTTATATAAATGCATAAATATGATCACAAAATGCATATATATTTCCTTTTAGAAGGCATCAAATATCTAGAGAAGTTTATTTTAAAGGATAAATAAAATAAGAGACACAATTTTCATTTACCCAAACATACATAAACCTTAATATGAAATGTACTCAATCAGTAAATTACATATGAAGTACAAAGGGAATATGCAATTTTATATATAAATATAGCTGGTAAAACAGTTGCCAACTGTAACAGTTTAACAGTCAAATTAATCAAGACATTGTACATGAAAAAAATGCAACATCTTTTTTCCAGCTTTATTGTATATATTTTAAGTTTAAAACATGATCTTTTTTTACCCTAAGCAATGCCGCCTGCTCCTCTCCATTCAGCCCCGACTTGCTGGTGGCGGATGTGATGTCTTGGGTACTTTTCTGCTGGGAGTTGCTTTTAGGCATGTAATCTGTGGGTTTTATTTATTTTTCCTCCCTGTTAGGTTGCCCTCCAAGATTCAAAAACTTCCCCCAGACCCACCAGTGAGAGAGTTTCCTGGTGTTTGGAAACTTCCTCTATTACCACTCCCTTTATTACAGTTCTCTGTCCCTAGCTCTTTTGTCTCTCTTTTTATCTTTTATATTTTGTCCTACCTCCTTTCGAAGACAATGGGCTGCTTTTCTGGGCGCCTGATGTCCTCTGCTAGCGATCAGAAGTTGTTTAGTGGAATTTGCTCAGCGTTCAAATGTTCTTTCGATAAATTTGTAGGGGAGAAAGTGGTCTCCCCGTCCTATTCCTCTGCCACCTTAGCTCCTCCGATCTTTTTTATATTTATTTGGCTTCCTCTTCACTTTTACCTGCCCACCTCCTTCCATCTTATACCTTTCCACTAACCACTTTGTGTTCAGGTAGCCCATGTTAAAACATATTTTTCCATGACTGTATAATCATATATAAACACATATATGTTGTATTAGTCTGCTAGGCTTGCCATAACAAAATCCCACAAACTGGGTGGTTTCAACAGAAGATATTTATTTCCTCAGAATTCTAGAGAGTCAAAGTCTAAGATCAAGGAGTCAACAAGATTGGTTTCTTCTTATAGGGAAAGTTGTAGACAGACATGTGCACACACAGAGGAAAGACCATCTACCAGCCAAGGAGGGGGACTCAGAAGAAACTTAATGATCTCATTTTAAAGAATTACCTGTCTAAAGATGCTATGTCTCAATACAGACCCATTCAGAGGTACTAGAGATTAGAACTTCAGCATAAAAGTTTGGGTGGGAGCACATATGTGTATGTGTTTATACATTCACACAAGTCAGAATGGTCAAAAATATGAAAAAAATTCCAATCTCACTATAGAGAAATGCAAAATTGAATACCATCATGATAACACTTTATACCTATCAGACTGGCAAAATTATAATGCAATTATTACTAGTGGTTGTTGTTAGTCGCTCAGTCATGTCTGACTCTTTGCGACCCCATGTTCTGTAGCCCACCAGGCTCCTCTGTCCATGGGGTTCTCCAGGCAAGAAAACTGGAGTGGGTTACCATTCCCTTCTCCAGGGGATTTTCCTGACCCAGGGATTAAACCTGGGTCTCCTACATTGCCAGAAGATTCTTCACCATTTGAGCCACCAGGGGAGCCCTATTACTAGTGGGCTTGTGAGTAAAAGGATACTATCATACAATGCTAGTGCATAACTACCACAGTCTTTTTGAAACCGATCTGATTGAAGCCATTTAAATTAAAAATATGTGCCTTCTAAAGTTCTGGTTCTGATTAAAATAGAATCACTCTGTCAATCCTACTGGATTTTTCCTTAACAGCATGCATTGAGCAGCTGTCTGAGAACCCTGAAAAGTAGTTGGCAGCAAGTAAATTGGGGGAGGAAATTAGAAAGATTTAAAAGCATGCAGATTGGAAGTAAAGGAATAAAACTGATTATGACATGATTATCTACATTGAAAATCTCCAGATATCCACAAAAAAAGCCCCTAGAAATAAGTGAGTTTAGTCTAATTTCAGAATGCAAAAATTACATATAAATTTCTATATAACAATAGCCTAGTAGTGGAAACTTCAATTACAAAAATAATACCATTTATAATGCCTCAAAAAATGAAATACTTAGGCAAAAATCTAACAAAATGTGCAGGATCTGTACACTGAAAATTACAAAACACTGATGAAAGAAATTTTAAAAGACCTAAATAAGTGGAGTGACATACAACATTCACGGATTGGAAGACTCAATGGAGTGAAGTTGTCAGCTGTTCCCAAACTGATTTATAGATTTAATGCAATTCCTATTAAAATCCCATGATGATATTTTTTGTTGGTAGGGAAAAGTATATTATAAAACTCATATGGAAATGCAAAGGCACAGGAATAGCCAAAACAATTTTGGAAAAGAAAAATCAAGTTGGAGGACTCATACTATATTATCTGGTTTTAAGACTTCTATTCCCTGGTAGCTCAGCTGGTAAAGAATCCACCTGCAATGCAGGAGACCCAGGTTCAATTCCTGGGTCAGGAAGTTCCCCTGGAGAATAGATAAGCTACCCACCTCAGTATTCTTGGGCTTCCCTGGTGGCTCAGATGGTAAAGAATCTGCCTGCAATTCAAGAGACCTGGGTTCAGTCCATGGGTTGGGAAGATCCCCTGTAGGAGGGCATGGCAACCCACTCCAGTATTCTTGCCTGGAGAATCCCAATGGACAGAGGAGCTTGGTGGGCTACAGTCCATGGGGTTGCAGAGTCAGACACAACTGCGTGACTAAGTGCAGCACAGCACATAAAGCTACAGTAACCAAGATGGCATTGTATTCACAAGTTGGATGATATAGAGTGTCTACTGCAGAAATAGACCCACACACATGCAGCTAACTGATTTTTGATGAAGACAGAAATGCAATTCAATGGAGAAAGGATAGTCTTTTCAACAAATAGTGTTGGAACAGTTAGTCACCCATATAAAAAAAGATGAACCTCAACCTAAATCTCACACTTAAAGATTAACTCAAAATGAATCATAGATCTAAATGCATAATGTAAAACCACAAAAAGTTTTTTAAAAAAATAGAAGGAAATTTTCATGACCTGGAGTTAGGCAAAGGGTTCTGATAAATAACACCAAAATCAAAATTCATAGGAGGAAAAACCTGATACATTGAATTTCATCCAAAAGGAAAAACTGCTCTACATAAGATACTGATAAAGACAATGAAAAGAGAAAATATTTGCTAGTCACATATACATATCTATACTCTCAGACTCAGCAGTAAGAAAACAAACCCCTAAAAATGGATAAAATATTTGAATAAATACATTACCAGAGAAGATATATGGAAGGCAAATAAGCACATGAAAAAGTTACTCAACATCATTGACCATTAAGGAAATGCGTATTAAAACTACAGTGAGATATCACTCCAGGGCTATTTTAACAACTAAAATAAAACAAAATGGATAACATTAAATATACTGGCAAGAGTGCAGAGCAATAGGAACCCTCATGCATGTACAATCAGGTAGTCACTCTGGAAGACAGTTTGGAAATGCAAATCAAACTCACAATGAAATATCACCTCACATCCATTAGAATGCCTGTTATCAAAAGATAACAAGTGTCGGCAAGGATGTGCAGAAATGGGAACCCTTGTACACTGTTGGTGGGAATGGAAGTTGGTACCACCATTATAGAAAGTAGTTTGGAGGTTCCCCTCAAGTTTAAAGATGGAACTATCATTGTTGTTGTTGTTTAGTCATTCAGTCATGTCTGACTCTTTGCGACCCCACAAACTGCAGCATGCCAGGCTTCCCTGTCCTTCACAATCTTCTGGGGTTTGCTCAAACTCATGTCCATTGAATCAGTGATGCCATCCAACCATCTCATCCTCTGTCATCCCCTTCTCCTCCCGCCTTCAATCTTTCCCAGCATCAGGGTCTTTTCTAATGAGTCAGCTCGTCACATCAGGTGGCCAAAGTATTGGAACTTCAGCTTCAGCCTCAGTCATTCCAATGAATATTCAGGGTTGATTTCCTTTAGGATGGACTGATTGNCCAAGGGACTCTCAAGAGTCTTCTCCAACACCACAGTTCAAAAGCATCAATTCTTTGGCACTCAGCTTTCTTTATACTCCAACTCTTAACATCCATACATAACTACTGGAAAAACCATAGCTTTGACTAGACGGACCTTTGTTGGCAAAGTAATGTCTCTGCTTTTTAATATGCTGTCTACGTTGGTCATAACTTTCCTTCCAAGGAGTTAAGTGTCTTTTAATTTCATGGCTGCAGTCACTATCTGCAGTGATTTTGGAGCCCCCAAAATATAAAGTCTGCCACTGTTTCCACTTTTTCCCTATTTGCCATGAAGTAATGGAACCAGATGCCATGATCTTATTTTTTTGAATGCTGAGTTTTAAGCCAACTTTTTCACTCTCCTCTTTCACCTTCATCAAGAGGCTCTTTAGTTCCTCTTTGCTTTCTACCATTAGGGTGGTGTCATCTGCATATCTGACGTTATTGATATTTCTCCTGGCAGTCTTTTTTTTTTCTTCTCTCCTGGCAGTCTTGATTCCAGCTTGTGCTTCATCCAGCCCAGCGTTTCTCATGATGTACTCTGCATATATGGGAAATTTATTCTATCTGCATGGGATTTATATGTGTTGTCTGATTTTGTATTTCCTTTTTTCTAAATTTTAAGTTTTTTCTTTTAAATTTTTTGATCCATTAAGTGTTTTTAAATTCCAATTGTTCTTTACTATTTTGGAAGTTCTGCACACTTCTGTTTTCATTGTTGGAGGGGACTTGCCTTTGAAATTTTACCCATTATACAGAGAATGTTGTTGTTTGTTTTGTTTTGTTTCCAGAATTATTAATATAAAGTCGTCGTACAACATTGTATTAAACATTAAGGTGTATAATGTTTCTACTTCATACACTTACATACAGCAAAATGATTTGATTTCCATAATGATTTTAGCTAACACCTCCAGCAGATCACATAATTGCCATTTCTTTTTTTGTGTGATGAGAACAGTTCAGATCTAACTCTCTTAGCAACTTTCAAGTATATAAAATACAGTATCACTAACAAAATCACCATGCTGTACATTAGATCCTTGGAACTTTTTCCTCTTATATAGCTGGAAGTTTGTACCCTTTGACCAACACTGACCCATTTCCCCAACACACACCCCAGCCCCTCATAATCACAATTCTCCTCTCTGTTTGTATGAGCTCATCTCTTTTTACATTCCACATGTAAGTGGAATCATAAAGTAATTCTCTTTCTCTGACATTTCATGGAGGATCACATTTGATTTGTAATGTTGAGCATCTTTTCCTGTACCTGTTGATCATCTGTATGTCTTCTTTGGGAAAATAAAGTCTATTCAGTTCCCCTGCCCATTTTTAAAATCAAATTGATTGTGTTTGTTTGTTTTCTTACTGAATTATATTAATTCTTTATATATTTTACATATTAATCCCTCATCAGATATATGATTTACATATATTTTCTCCCATTCCATAGGTTGCCTTTTCATTGCATTGGCTATTTTTTTGTGAAGATTTTTAGTTGGATATAGTCCCACTTATTAATTTTTGCTTTTGTTGCTTGTGCTTTTGGTGTCATATCAAAAAAATCATTGCAAAGATGAGTTTCCCTATGTTTTCTAGTTTTACAGTTTCAGGTCTCATGCTTCAGTCTTTAATCCATTTCAAGTTAATTTTTGTGTATCATGTAATGTAAAGGTCCAAACTCATTCTGTATGTGGCTATTCAGTTTTCCCAACACCATTTATTGAAGAGAGTATCTTTTCCCCATTGAATATTCTTGGCTCACTTGTCATTTATTAGTTGGCCATATATGTGAGAGTTTATTTCTGGGCTCTTGGTTGTTTTCCATTGATTTATGTGTCTCTCTTTATTCCAGTGCCATACTGTTTATTTCTTTTTTGCCATACTATTTTAATCATTATATCTTGGAGTATAGTTTGAAATCAGGAAGTGTGATACCTCTAGTTTTGTTCTTTCTTAGGATTGCTTTGGCTATTCAGGGTCTTCTGTGGTTCCACATGAACAGCCATCTTTTCCATTAGCATTTACCAAATAGTTCATTCTTTCTGCTGCTGTTCTGGGATGTTCCCTTTATCATATATTAAATTTCCATTTATGTCTGTATCTGTTTCTGGACTCTATGTTCTGATTGATATAATCATCTATACCTGCAACTCCATGTGACCCCATGGACTGTAGCCTGCCAGGCTCCTCTGTCCATGGGATTCTCCAGGCAAGAATACTGGAGTGGGTAGACATTCCCTTCTCTAGGGGATCTTCCCAACCCAGGGATGGAACCCAGCTCTCCTGCATTGCAGGCAGATTCTTTACCATTGGAACCACCAGGAACCATACCTGCATTAAGACCATGCTTATAATTACAATAGCTTTAAAATACCTTTTATCACTTTGAAGAGAAGAAACTTTGATTCTCAGTTAGTTGCACTAAGCTAGTGTCTGAGCATAGCTTACTGGATTTGTGGGCCACCACCTTGCAGAGTAGACAAACATTTATTGATTGGATAGACATATATGGAAGAGGCTTTCAGAAACAATTCTCTTAATAAGTTGAAATGTATTTTACTTCTATTTACTTTTCATTCAGAAATAATTTCAAACTTACAGAAATGCTGCAAGAATAATATAGAACTCCCATATACACTTTATCCAGATCCACTCATTTTTAAGATTTTGCTATGTTTTATCATTCTTTCTTTTATATACATATTTTATAATTTACTTTCAAAGTGAGAATAGACTGTAGACATCATATCCCTTTATCTTTTAATACTCCATTGTGTATTTCCTATGAATAAATATATTCTCTTACATAATTAAAGTGGAGTTATGAAATTCAGAAAATGTAGCATTGATACATTATCTAATACATAATATAATATGTTTATCTAATTGACAGACAATATTCCAGTTGTATCAATTAATGCTATTCTTTGTAGCATTTCCTCTTCCCAGTTCAGGCTCTAGTCCTGGACCTAGTTGTCCTGATTCTTTGAAATTTGTTTCCTTGAATTTGGAATTTTAATCACCAGATCAAGGATTTTCTTATTTTTTTTCCTCTGTATAGTTATTATTTTTCTCTTTGCAACTAATAAGCAGTGTGTAGGGAGATACACTGAGACCATGCAAATGCTCTCCTCCTCATTAACCTCCTGCCCATCATATAGCACCTAAATGCATCATTACCATGGTCTACAACTCTCCTCATTTTGAGATTGAAACCTAGCTAATCAAGCATTACAGTTTGCTTTTTTGGAAGGTATAATGTTATCTCCTTTTGAGAATAAGATACAGAGCATAACTTATAATCATATCATGACAATCAAAAATAATAAATCCAGATACTGTTCAAATCTTCTATTCTCTATTTCTTTTGCAGGCATCAATGGCTATGTTTTTGATAGCTTGCAGCTGTCGGTTTGTTTGCATGAGGTGGCGTATTGGTACATTCTAAGTGTTGGAGCCCAAATTGACTTCCTCTCTGTCTTCTTCTCTGGATATACCTTCAAACACAAAATGGTCTATGAAGATACACTCACCCTATTCCCCTTCTCGGGAGAAACTGTCTTCATGTCAATGGAAAATCCAGGTTAGTTATTTATATTATTTTTTTACTAACAGCAGTGTTTGCCTCACTGGCCATTCACGTGGTTTTTTGCCCACTAGGTCACATCTGCCCACTAGCTCATCACATGCTAAATGGTTCAGGTGATTTTGGTAATTGCAAGGCATTTTAATGATAGAACCATATCAAATGAGCTTCACAGGTGGCTCAGTGGGGACAGAATCTGCCCACAGTGCAGGAAATGCAAGAGATGCAGGTTTGACCCCAGGGTTGGGAAGATCCCCTGGAGGAAGGCATGGCAACCCACTCCAGTATCCTTGCCTGGAGAATCCCATGGACAGAGGAGCCTGGTGGAGTACAATCTATAGGGTTGCAAAGAGTTGGCCATGACTGAGCATGCACGCATGCACCAGAGCAAATGTTTAAGTTAAAAGTCTTTGCTTTAAAAAGTGCCTTTACTTGCTGTGGGCCAACCTTTTAAGTGTGTTTATTAGACTGTAGTGGTGAATATACATTTATATCTGCAGTTAACACACAGGGGCTGGCTAAATATGTTTCTGAGTGCCTTGTGAACATTTGTTTTGTTGGTAAGTGCATAATAATCTCGTCTTGCATGCGCACATACCATCAAACCACTGTGAAGCCTTCAGGACAAACATGACGGTCAACTTCTCATCACCTACCTCCCTCCAGCATGACTCAAATGCATCCAGTCTGGTGATCAGGAGGGACACTGACCATGTCTAAACCTGACAAATTGTAGTCATTCTCTTACACTCATGACTTTTCTGGAGATAAATTCTCATGGGGAAATTTCTAGGGAATCAAAACCAATCTTATCATATAAAACCATAGATTCACCTTCATACCCAGAAACTCATCTTATACTTCAGTAATGTATTTTTGTGGGAAGTGAGTGAAGGAGACCCTGACAGAACTCTAATAATACCTCTGAAAGTATCTTGTTTCTTCATGTTTATATCTTCATTGTCTGCTTTACAGCTAAGTTGCAAGGTCTCAGAGACCTTGTCATCTTGTTTGTCATTGAATCCCCAATGTTTATAGTGCCTGGCCTATAGTAGATACTTAATAAACATTTTTTCAATGAATGAATAAATTAAAAATGTGCAAAAATGTTATAAAACAGTATGCATAATATGATTGTAATTGTCTAAACCAAAGAATGTGTGTGTGTGTGTAGGCAGACAATGCTATTGAAAATATCAATATTTTCAGAAGCTTGTAAACTACTTCGGTGATCAGTTAAATTCTAAAGACAAATTAAAACTCTGCTCTATGTGTCTTGAGGAGAAATTTTCTATCTTGATTATAAAGCTCAAGCTAAATAAAGACCCTGGTCTATGTTGCTGATTTCATATTTTAACTTCACTGTGGTCATGTAACGAACTCTGTATGATTACAGTTATTTTAAATATGGTGAGACCTGCCATACACCCAGCGTATGGTTTACTTTTGGATAATGGTCCATTTGTACCTTTGAAACTGGCACCACCATAGCAGGTGTGCTCAGGCTCCAAACACAGGCACAGTGAATTCCATTGTCACACTAGGCACCTGGACTCCAAACAGTGGAATCATCACAAATGCACGTATGTCTCTGCCCCCAGAAACCAGCACTATTACCCAGGCCTGTGTGCTCACATGCCAGACCCAGCACCAAGAATCCCCTCAGCTAGGACCTCAGTCTATAGGTGAAAAGAAGAACAAAAGAACCCCAGCAGCCTTCACCACCTAGGAGGTCAACAACCCTCATCACCATCATGGACACTCAAAGCTTTGACAACCAAGGACCCTCCATAATTTTGCTGACACTGACCTCAGCTGATCGAGCTGCATGTGGTCTATGCTGTTGTGCCCTCGCTGGAACTGGAGCTGCTGAATCACACACTGAAAAAGAAAGAAAGAACCCAGAAATCCTGGAGCTAAAGAATACAGTGAATGAAATGAAAAAAATGCAAGAGAGCTTTAAAAACATACTTGATTAAGCTGAAGAAAGAATCTGCAAACTCAAAGATAAATCTTTTGACACTATTGAGTCAAGAGGAGAAAAAAAGGAATGAAGAAAGCCTGCAGAACTTATGGAATACCATTACATTTTTCCAAAAGAGACAGAGAAGTGACCAACAGGTATATGAATATGTTCTGAACATCACTAATCATCAGGCAATGCAAATCAAAACCACAGTAAGATATCAGTTCGTACCTGTCAAAATGACTGTTATCAAAAAGTCAGAGGATGACAAGGATGTTGGCAAGGATGTAGAGAAAGCATCCTTGTGCACTGTTGGTGGGAATGTACATTGATGTAGCCATTATGAAGAACTGTGTGGAGATTCCTCCAAAAGTTAAAAAGAGAACTACCATCTGATCCAGCGATCCTGCTTCTTGGTATACATACAAAGGAAATGAAATCAGGATCTTGAAGAGGCACCTGCACTCCCATGTTTATCACTGCACTCTTCATAATAACTAAGACATGGAAAGAACCTAAGTGTCCATTCATGAATAAATGGCAGAGTAGAAAGACCCTGAGCTCACCTCCTCTCACAGGCACACCACAATCACAATTATTTTCAGAACGGCCATCAGTGGAAAAGACTTGCACCTACCAGAGCAGATCTCCTACAACTAAAGCTATAAAGAAGGAACCGCAATAAGATGGTAGGACAGACATCATGATATTGTCCAATCTTATATCCCTGGGTGGGCATTTCACAAATAGGAGAAAAATTACAGGTGCAGAGGCTTTCTCAAAAGAAGTAAGACGTCTAGCCCCATATTAGACTCCCCAGTCCAGGGATCCTGGACCAGAAAGACAAACCCCCAGAGCATTTGACTTTGAAGGCCAGTAATGCATACAATTGAGAGTCCCATAGAGCTGGGGTAAATAGAGATTTCACTCTCACACGGTCCAGGGAAAAAGCAGGAATAGGAGGTTGGGTCAGATTCGCCTGCTGATTTTGGAAAGTCTCCTGGAAAAGCAGGGGGCAGCTGCAGCTCCTATGTCCCAAACTGGTGGCAGCCATTCTGGGGAGCTCTTTCTACCACATGTACACTGGTGCTTGCAAATGCCATTGAGGTATCCTCTGTCTGGCTTATTAGCAAGAAAATGCAGTCCTGTCCTGGCTCAACATCTATAGGTGCCAGTTCTGGGACACATGATGGCAAGCAAATAACTGGGCATGAACACAGCCCACCCACCAACAGACAGGTTGCCTTAAGAACCCCCTGAGACACAGCATCCCCTGGACATGGCCCTGCCCACCAGAGGGCACAGGGTCTGTCCCTGCATACCAGTGTGCAGGCACCAGATCCAGGACCTCCAGCCAGAGACCCTGGGACCAAGCTCTACCCACCAGTGGGCAGGCACCAGCCCTAGAATCACTGGACCCTGGTCCTGCCCTTCATTGAGCCTGCTATAGCCTCAGAACCAGCTTCACCCACCAGTGGATGTCACTCTTTGTCACTATTCGCCATCATTATCTGCATATGACATGATGCTGTACATAGAAAATCCTAAAGACAGCACCAAAAAACTACTAGAGCTCATCAGAGAATTTGGTACAGTTACAGGATATAACCCCACTAGGGCTTCCCTTGTGGCTCATCTGGTAAAGAATCTGCCTGCAATGCAGGAGACCTGGGTTTGATCCCTGGGTTGGGAAGGTCCCCCTGGAGAACAGAAAGGCAACCCACTCCAATATTCTGGCCTGGAGAATTCCATGGACTATATAGTCCATGGGGTCACAAAGAGTTGGATACAACTGAGCGACTTCACTTTCACTTTTCATAGGATATAAAATTAATACACAGAAAATCTGTTGCATTTCTAGACACTAACAATGAACTATCAGAAAGAGAAATTAAGGAAACAGTCCCATTTACAATTGCATCATAAAAATAAGATATCTAAGAATAAACTTACCTAACCAAGCTAGATAGCATATTAAAAAGCAGAGACATTACTTTGCCAACAAAAGTCCGTCTAGTCAAGGCTATGGTTTTTCCAGTGGTCATGTATGGATGTGAAAGTTGGACTGTGAAGAAAGCTGAGCACCAAAGAATTGATGATTTTGAACTGTGCAGTGTTGGAGAAGACTCTTGAGAGTCCCTTGGACTGCAAGGAGATCCAACCAGTCCATCATAAGGCAGATCAGTCCTGGGTGCTCATTGGAAGGACTGATGCTGAAGCTGAAACTCCAACATTTTGGCCACCTCGTGCGAAGAGTTGACTCATTGGAAAAGACCCTGATGCTGGGAGAGATTGGGGGTAGGAGGAGAAGGGGACGACAGAGGATGAGATGGCTGGATGACATCACCGACTTGATGGACATGTGTTTGAGTAAACTCCGGGAGTTTGTGATGGACAGGGAGGCCCGGCATGCTGCGGTTCATGGGGTCACAGAGAGTTGGACACATCTGAGTGACTGAACTGAACTGAACTGAACTGAAGGAGACAAAGGGATCCCAGGTGGCTCAGTGATAAAGACCCCCCTGCCAATGTAGGAGATACAGAGATGTAGGTTCGATCCCTGGGATTGCAAGATCCCCGAGAGAAGGGAATGGCAACCCACTCCAGCATTCTTGCCTGGAAAATCCCATGGACAAAGGAGGCTGGCAGGCTATAGTCATGGGGTCACGAAGAGTTAGATGAAAGACCTGTACTCATAAAACTATAAGACACTGGTGATAGAAATCAAAGATGACACAAACAGGTGGGAAGATAGATCATGTACTTGGATGGGAAGAATCAGTACTGTAAAAACTACTATGCTACCCAAGGCAATCAACAGATTCAATGCAATCTCTATCATATTACCAATGCCATATTTCACAGAACAAATGACACCGATTAGCCAAAATAATCTTGAGAAAGAAAAACAGAACTAGATGAATCATCCTCCCTGACTTCAGACTACAAAGCAACAGTAATCAAAACAGTATGGTACTAGTACAAAAAACAGAGACATAGATCAATGGAACAGGGTAGACAGCCCAAAAGT